TGCTCCAGAGGCGTGCGACCTCTGAAAATATAGCAATTGTAAGTCGTTTTGGATAAAAGCGTCAGCTAAATGAATAAATGTAAATGTAAATGATATGTCTATGGAGGTCGTCCCTGTACTCTCTATTGGCTCTGATACGTCTACGGAGGTCGTCCGTCTACTCTCTATTGGCCCAGAAATGTCTACATCCCTGCCGATCCCCCGCTGATGTCAGCACGGGCTGCCACGAGGGCCATCGTTCCAGGGTCTCGTCCCGTCGAGCCTTGGCTCCATGTCAGCCCGCCGATCCTGAGTTCCTTCACGTCAGCCCCGCCGAACCTGAGTTTCTTCACGTCGGTCCCACCGAGCCTGAGATTCACGTCATTCCCGCCGAACCTGAGTTTCTTCACGTCGGTCCCACCGAGCCTGAGATTCACATCATGCCCGCCGAGCCTGCGCTTCACGTCATGCCCGCCGAGTCTGCGCTTCACGTCGGTCCTGCCGAGCCTGCGCTTCACATCATGCCGGCCGAGCCTGCACTTCACGTCGGTCCTGCCGAGCCTGCGCTTCACATCATGCCGGCCGAGCCTGCACTTCACGTCGGTCCTGCCGAGCCTGCGCTTCACATCATGCCGGCCGAGCCTGCACTTCACGTCGGTCCTGCCGAGCCTGCACTTCACATCATGCCCGCCGAGCCTGCGCTTCACGTCGGTCCTGCCGAGCCTGCGCTTCACATCATGCCCGCCGAGCCTGCACTTCACGTCACGCCCGCCGAGCCTGCGCTTCACATCATGCCGGCCGAGCCTGCACTTCACGTCGGTCCTGCCGAGCCTGCGCTTCACGTCATGCCCGCCGAGCCTGCGCTTCACATCATGCCCGCCGAGCCTGCACTTCACATCATGCCTGCCGAGCCTGCGCTTCACGTCATGTCCGCCGAGCCTGCGCTTCACATCATGCCCGCCGAGCCTGCACTTCACATCATGCCCGCCGAGCCTGCGCTTCACGTCATGTCCGCCGAGCCTGCACTTCACATCATGCCCGCCGAGCCTGCGCTTCACGTCATGTCCGCCGAGCCTGCTCTTCACATCATGCCCGCCGAGCCTGCGCTTCACGTCATGCCCGCCGAGCCTGTGCTTCACCTCATGCCCGCCGAGCCTGCGCTTCACATCATGCCCGCCGAGCCTGCGCTTCACGTCATGCTCGGCGAGCCTGCGCTTCACATCAGGCCTGCTGAGCCTGCGCTTCACGTCGGTCCTGCCGAGCCTGCGCTTCACGTCATGCTCGCCGAGCCTGCGCTTCACATCATGCCCGCCGAGCCTGCGCTTCACGTCGGTCCTGCCGAGCCTGCGCTTCACGTCATGCCCGCCGAGCCTGCGTTTCACGTCATGCCCGCCGAGCCAGAGACTGTTCACGTCATGCACTCCGAGCCAGAGACTGTTCACGTCATGCACGCCGAGCCAGAGACTGTTCATGTCACGTTCACCGAGCCAGAGACTGTTCACGTCATGCACGCCGAGCCAGAGACTGTTCACGTTATGTACTCCAAACCAGAGACTGTTCACGTCATGCACGCCGAGCCAGATACTGTTCACGTCATGCATGCCGAGCCAGAGACTGTTCACGTCATGCATGCCGAGCCAGAGACTGTTCATGTCATGCATGCCGAGCCAGAGACTGTTCACGTCATGCATGCCGAGCCAGAGACTGTTCACGTCATGCACTCCGAGCCAGAGACTGTTCACGTCATGCACGCCGAGCCAGAGACTGTTCACGTCATGCCCGCCGAGCCTGCATTTCACGTCATGCCCGCCGAGCCAGAGACTGTTCACGTCATGCACTCCGAGCCAGAGACTGTTCACGTCATGCACGCCGAGCCAGAGACTGTTCATGTCACGTTCGCCGAGCCAGAGACTGTTCACGTCATGCACGCCGAGCCAGAGACTGTTCACGTTATGTACTCCAAACCAGAGACTGTTCACGTCATGCACGCCGAGCCAGAGACTGTTCACGTCATGCATGCCGAGCCAGAGACTGTTCACGTCATGCATGCCGAGCCAGAGACTGTTCACGTCATGCACTCTGAGCCAGAGACTGTTCACGTCATGCATGCCGAGCCAGAGACTGTTCACGTTATGCACGCCGAGCCAGAGACTGTTCACGTTATGTACTCCAAACCAGAGACTGTTCACGTCATGCACGCCGAGCCAGAGACTGTTCACGTCATGCATGCCGAGCCAGAGACTGTTCACGTCATGCATGCCGAGCCAGAGACTGTTCACGTCATGCATGCCGAGCCAGAGACTGTTCACGTTATGTACTCCAAACCAGAGACTGTTCACGTCATGCACTCCAACCAGAGACTGTTCACGTCATGCACGCCGAGCCAGAGACTGTTCACGTCATGCACGCCGAGCCAGAGACTGTTCACGTCATGCACGCCGAGCCACAGACTGTTCACGTCACGCATGCCGAGCCAGAGACTGTTCACGTCATGTACTCCAAACCAGAGACTGTTCACGTCACGCATGCCGAGCCAGAGACTGTTCACGTCATGCACTCCGAGCCAGAGACTGTTCACGTCATGTACTCCAAACCAGAGACTGTTCACGTCATGCATGCCGAGCCAGAGACTGTTCACGTCATGCACTCCGAGCCAGAGACTGTTCACGTCATGTACTCCAAACCAGAGACTGTTCACGTCATGCATGCCGAGCCAGAGACTGTTCACGTCATGTACTCCAAACCAGAGACTGTTCACGTCATGCATGCCGAGCCAGAGACTGTTCACGTCATGCATGCCGAGCCAGAGACTGTTCACGTCATGCATGCCGAGCCAGAGACTGTTCACGTCATGCATGCCGAGCCAGAGACTGTTCACGTTATGTACTCCAAACCAGAGACTGTTCACGTCATGCACGCCGAGCCAGAGACTGTTCAGGTCATGCACTCCAAACCAGAGACTGTTCACGTCATGCACTCCAACCAGAGACTGTTCACGTCATGCACGCCGAGCCAGAGACTGTTCACGTCATGCACGCCGAGCCAGAGACTGTTCACGTCATGCACGCCGAGCCACAGACTGTTCACGTCACGCATGCCGAGCCAGAGACTGTTCACGTCATGTACTCCAAACCAGAGACTGTTCACGTCATGCATGCCGAGCCAGAGACTGTTCACGTTATGTACTCCAAACCAGAGACTGTTCACGTCATGCACGCCGAGCCAGAGACTGTTCAGGTCATGCACTCCAACCAGAGACTGTTCACGTCATGCACGCCGAGCCAGAGACTGTTCACGTCATGCACGCCGAGCCAGAGACTGTTCACGTCATGCACGCCGAGCCACAGACTGTTCACGTCACGCATGCCGAGCCAGAGACTGTTCACGTCATGCACTCCGAGCCAGAGACTGTTCACGTCATGTACTCCAAACCAGAGACTGTTCACGTCATGCATGCCGAGCCAGAGACTGTTCACGTCATGCACTCCGAGCCAGAGACTGTTCACGTCATGTACTCCAAACCAGAGACTGTTCACGTCATGCATGCCGAGCCAGAGACTGTTCACGTCATGTACTCCAAACCAGAGACTGTTCACGTCATGCATGCCGAGCCAGAGACTGTTCACGTCATGTACTCCAAACCAGAGACTGTTCATGTCACGTTCGCCGAGCCAGAGACTGTTCACGTCATGCACTCCAAACCAGAGACTGTTCATGTCACGTTCGCCGAGCCAGAGACTGTTCACGTCATGCATGCCGAGCCAGTGTCCCCAGACAAGACGGCCGCCGCCGAACCAGTATCTGTTCCTGAGCCGGTGTCTGTTCCGTTCCTGAGCCGGTGTCTGTTCCGTTCCTGAGCCGGTGTCTGTTCCGTTCCTGAGCCGGTGTCTGTTTCTGAGCCGGTGTCTGTTCCTGAGCCGGTGTCTGTTCCGTTCCTGAGCCGGTGTCTGTTTCTGAGCCGGTGTCTGTTCCTGAGCCGGTGTCTGTTCCGTTCCTGAGCCGGTGTCTGTTTCTGAGCCGGTGTCTGTTGCTGAGCCGGTGTATGGTCTCCTGGTCTCCTGAACTGCCGGCTCCACCGTGGCCACCCGAAGGGTCGTCTCTGCCGTGGCCGCCCGATTATGTCCGCCACCCTCCCCCCCTTTCTGAGCCGTTCTGTCCTGGTTCCCGGTTTCATGGTTTAGATCTTTTGCTTGTTCTTTGGATTACCTTGTTTGACTATGCTTCTTGGACCTTGTTTTATGTTTGGTTTGTTAGCCTGTGTTTTTAACCCTGTGCCTGTTTATGGATTACGACTGTGGATTATCCCAAATAAAAGCTCTTCGTCACACTAAATGCGTATCTATTGCACGCATTGTGTTTATCGTGCAATTTATATGCGTTTTTATTTGCATGCATGGGTAGGTTTAGTAGTAGTGTGGGGTGCGTGTGTATTACACGCAATAAAATGCGAATCAAATGGACGCAAAAACTGCGTATCATATGCACGTAAAAACTCATTTTCGCGTATAAATTGCACATAGAGACACATTTTAATGAGACCAGGCTGGTATTCAGAGCAGTACGTGACAAATATGTGTTAGGAGATGATCAGTGATATTTGCTTCACCTGTAACTGGTCATAATGTGTTGTGCTCATCAGTGTATCAGTGACCTACATTTTTGACCTTTTAGTAACAACTTAAAAGTTGTTAATTAATTTATAGTAACTTAGCTCTGATTCTTTTATTCTTATTTCTTCTGCACTACAGTCACTTCTTCATGACATAATGATATTACTTATTTATTTAATGACATAATAGTAAACACTCTTAAAATTTCAGTAGTTTAAACAAATGCAATGTGTTATTGTCTAATGTCTAATTTAAAGGAAAATGCATCGAAATCCATCTTACATCTGATGCACAGTAATTGCTAATACATAATAAAAAATAATAAAGCACAGTAAAAACTGATTTGCAAAAAAAAGGCTAAGTTGCTTTTTCAGTGGACTCAAAGTTCAGCAGTCTGGAGAGGAAGTTAAAATGCTTTAGTAAATTGTGTCATCACACCTAAGCCAGTTTTCCTGTAGTGTTTCAGACCAGCAGACCACAGTTTTTACCAAGCTAAAGTGACGAAGATGAACCGGAGGATGCTCTGTATCACCCTCTTCATTGCTGTACTGCCTTGTATGGCTAAAGGTACGTCAATTCTTATCTCTATACTAACTTTATTGATAGATGTGTAAAATTAGACCTCCTCTCACCAATTACGCTTTATGTCTTCTGCAAGAACTCAAATCTTAGCCATGGCATCAGCCGGACACATGCTGACGAAGGCTTCATTTACAAATAGATTGTTAAAGTCCAGTTGTGAAAGGCAAAAAGAAATAAAGGATGTTTAACTTTGATTTTAAAATGTTTTTTTTTTTGTTTTTTTTGTTTACTTCGGACTAATTCTAATTCTGTATACTGGTAAAATGATTCTTCCAACAAGTCCAAGCATCCTGTGTTAATTATTATTATTATTTTTTATTTTAACATATAAAATTTATAACATAAACATTTATAATAGCTATAATTTAAACTAACTTTGTTTGTTTTATTTCTCACTTTGTTTTTACATTTTTTTTCTTTAAAATGTACTTAATTTGATTTAAAAAAAAATAATTACTACAAAGATCCATAACAAATAATGATATCACGTTTTGATAGAACTATGATTGAACGCTCCTTCTGAGAGCAATTTAAGACATAATTTGGTAACACTTTATAAGTATACAGTAATAAAGTACTTACAAATCATTAACGAACTATTAGTTTATAGTTAATATATTATGGTCTCTACATTGTTAATATATTAATAGGCTATATACAAAGTGAGTTCTTCATGCATTGTCACTGTAATTAACACTATTTTTTATTGTTTAATTAGCTCATATTTAAAGAGTTAGATAATGTTTTTTATGCTTTGTTAACAACAACTGTAAATATTCTCACTTTGGATTTTAGGAAAAAGGAAAAATGTCATAAATAAAGTGCTTTAAACCTACCTTTATTAGACATTAATTGCATTCATATTCCCCCCCCCCACACACACACACATACGCGCACACGCATGCACGCGCGCGCGCACACACACACACACACACACAAACGCACACACACACACACACACACACACGCACGCACACACACACACACACGTTGGCATATGTGGTTCACTTGATTGCGGGGACTCTCCATAGGCATGATGATTCTTAAACTGACACATTTCCATTTGTGACCTAATCTAAAGCGAGAACTATTTACAAGTTGTTAACAAAGCATAAAACATTATCTAACTCTTTCTGAGCTAATTAAACAATAATAATTTCGTTAATTACAGTGACAATGCATGAAGAACTAACTATTTGTATATAGGCTATTAATATATTAACAATGTAGAGACTACAATATTTCAACTATAAACTAATGGTTTGCAACTGATTTGTAAGTACTTTTGTTACTGTTTACGGTAACACTTTATAATACTGTTCCTTCATTAATGAATAACTACACACGAACAAATGAGTAAACACATTATTAACACAATAAACTCTGATTAACAAATTAGTAATAGCGCTGTTGAATGTTATAGTTCACTATTAGCTAATCAATAACTACTGTTTTTCATACCGCACTGAAGACTATAGATGAAGAACTACTATATACAAGTTCATAATTAACATGAATAATGCATAATTTATAATAAAAGGTAACGGTAACCCATAATGACTCAAGTGTTACTACATCCTTCTAAAGGAACTAATAATAATTTGGATCATCTAAAGAGAAAAACATGATAACTCCCTAATATCGACTGAAGTGATTGTAAGATTTTGAATAGTAATTCCTTCCGATGGATTTGGTAACACTTTAGTCATTACTAGTGTGTGTTTCCATGATCTTCACATTAGAAAATTATTAGATCCAAATAATTAGTAGTTCCTCTAGAAGGATGTAGTAACACTTGAGTCATTATGGGTTACCGTTATCCTTTTATTATAAATTATGCATTATTCACGTTAATTATGAACTTGTATATAGTAGTTCTTCATCTATAGTCTTCAGTGCGGTATGAAAAACAGTAGTTATTGATTAGCTAAATGTGAACTATAACATTCAACAGCGCTATTACTACTAATTTGTTAAGTTTATTGTAAGTTAATAGTAGTGTTAACAGTGCGTTACTCACGTGTTTCTGTGTAATTATTAATTAATGAAGGAACAGTATTATAAAGTGTTACCCATAATTTTAATGCTGTCTGTTGTCCAAAACCATTCTTACACTCAAAAAAAAATGCTGGGTCGTTTTAACCCAATTTTGGGTCAAATATGGACAAACTCAAACATTGGGTTAAAATTGTAATAAAAAAATGTGAACCAATGGCTGGGTTGTTTTAACCCAAATTTGGGTCAAATATGGACAAACCCAGCCATTGGTTTACATTTTTTATTTATTACAATTTCAACTCAATGTTTGAGTTTAGAGTGTAAAATATGCATTCAATAACAATTAGTGCATTAGTTAAATGTTGCATTACAGCATGTCAGCAGTGTGTGAATACTGTGCATAAAGTGTGTGTGTGTGTGTGTGCACGGGAAACAGACTGTTTTGAGACAGGTGTGTGATGTTTGTGGCTTTGATGGGCAGCGTTGTAACAGTCCTGTCGAGCTCTGGTGTGTCCTGTCCGACTCGAAGCAGAAGTGAGAGTGGGAATGGGAAACAGACCCCTGGGATGTGGCTGTGCAACGGGCCACCGGTGCAATGTGTTTCCTGAGGGACCCAATCAGAGGGGCTCTTCTGCAGCGCCTCAGACGCGCACACACACATCTCAGGCCTCGCTCTCGCTTCCCCTTTCTGCAGTTAAAAATAATGCCCGGGCCCCTTCTTCATCAAAAATGTGACAAGACCCTGCGTTGTTGTTGCAAAAACTGCGATCCAGAGTCGTGTCTCGCAATTTCCGCTATACTTCGGATTTCACGCCTTCAATTTTGCACAAACCACATTCTGACGTTTCACTTTTAGTGATGTCCATCTCAGCAGCTCTGCTGGATGTCGTTGATGCAGATTGAGCATCAAGACTTTATGTTGAAATGTGGAAAAAGGAACGCACGCTTGCTGTACATCTTTACATTTTTTTGAAAGAAATATAAATGTGAAAATCGTGTGTTCATTTAATCATGTTGTTCTTCTTTTTGTGGAGCAAAAAGCTTTGGTTTCACTTTATTTTGATGGTCCCTTTAACACATTCTGGTGACTATAAGTAACATTGCACCTACATGTCTACTAACTCTTATTAGAGTGTTAGTAGAGTATTAATAGACTGGTAGGGTTAGGATTAGATTAAGTTGACATGTAGTTGCAAAATTACTTATAGTCAGTAGAGTGTCTGTTGGAGGACCATCACAATAAAGTGTTTGCAGATTTAAGCAAACAGTCTACCAATACTCCGATGAGAGTTAGTTAACATAGTTGCAAAGTAACTTATAGTCAACAGCATGTTCAAAAGGGACCATCAAAATACCAAGCGTTACCAAAGCTTTTAATTTTTTTTTAAAATCTTGTTTTCCAGTAAAAATATCTAACCATCCTTAAAGCAAGACGAATATTCTTGAGAAGCAAAATTGTGAAAGATAATAAGACTTTGTTTTTTCAGCATGTTAAATTAAAGTCGGCATGAAACGGAAGGTGCTTTTTCCCCCCTTATTGTGACGTATATCCAATTGAAACGCTTTTTGGCTTTTATGTAGGACGGGACCTGATTTTGTCCGTCGGGAATGGATCGTCAAAGTTGTGAATTAACTTATGCACATATCGCATCAAACATTTGTGAATAAAGCAGACAGAAACATATATAGTGTCGGATCTGATCTGTCTGGGTTTCCACCTCGTGTGTTCAAAATCGTCACTTGCTGGACGAAAACATCCGCAAATATTTCCCCTCCATCATAAACGAGTGTGTGTCGAGCGTCAGACGAAACACAGTAAACGCTGTCGTGTTCTCTAGCGTTCGGATGCTGGTGTTCGAGAACACACTCGTGTGTGTGAGACGCTTCTGGAGGGAATTACACCCAATCATCATGATCACACACTTCGACTTTCAGAATCACCAGACCAACATTGGAGACGCTTGACGCCATTGGTCCGCTGGTTACTCCAGTTATCCAATCACAGCTGACGCTGAGGCAAAGTCACCTGAGGTTTTGAGGGATTTATTCAGTAAATGTGTTTACATCGTAGTTTATGCACGTGTTTTCTTATTGGATGAAAAAAAAATTGTACGCACATTTTTAGAACTGACGCACATCTTGCCGTTTCCATCCAGCGTTTTTTAAATGTGATCAAAATGCGCATAAAAACAGGATGGAAACATAACTAGTGACAGGTTGTAAATTCATCATCGGGGAAGAGAAGAAATGTCATTTTGATGAAAGATTATAAACTTTGCGTGGATTTTTCTTTTGAAAATAAAACATTTACAATAAAAGAAAAATGCATTTTTAAGGAGGTTTACATATTTTAGTGGAAAATGTTTAGCAAAAGTTTTCACCATCTTTTTGCCTTCACTGAATTATTTAAATGCTCCTTCAGTGTGACATTATAAAAGCAATCCATGTAATCTTTAATTAATACGAGCTCATTAAACTGAGTAGAGTTTGTTTGAGATGAAGTGTGTATGTCAAACCACCAAACATGTCAACCATATCATTTCATAAACTTCATTAATACAGTCAAACCAAAATGTATTCAAACCAGTGACCAAGCAATGCTTCATGTTGTTCAGTCTGTGTGTAAAAAGAGCATTAGCAGTTACAGAAAACACACTCCAGCAGAACATGATCAGCTGAAAGTGGAGGAATCATTCCCAAATGTTTATAAGTTTTACTGGTAGTCACTGCATGAAGAATATTTGGGTATAATATGTCACAGTTTACTTTATTTTGCTCTCCTCACTTACATAAATGAACTATAGTGTCCTGATCACACTAGTGAAAAAATATCAAATATTATATCTGGTGTCTGAATCATTTTTGTCTTGACTGCACAAATCCTGCAGAGTTGAGCTCAAACTCACATCTGAACCTGTAATTTAATGTAATAATTATACACTGTGAAAAGTTATTGTTGGTTTAACTTAAAATAAGTTGGTTGCCAT